TCGGCCCATAACCCACCCTCGCAATTTGTCCTACCTGCGTACCCACCCGTAGGCCACATATGAGTCCGCTCCAGACGACATTTCAAGCATCGCGAACGTCCACGTCCACCATGCGTTCCACGAAGTGGACGCAGCACCGGTGACTAGGGCGTGAATTAGTTTATAGTGAGGCTGACTTGCGCAGCATCTACCGCACTCTCATCTCACGCACGTAACTTGCTCCGACGACAGGACTGCGTCAAGACTACCGGCGGCGAGTTCGAGGGGGAGGGGGGCTGGGACCTTGCTTGCGTAAGAGTGTCCCAAAGGCCACGTCGAGAAGGGGCCATTGTAGCTTGACCGCCACTTCTGAGATGTGTCGAGTTAGCCCGTCAGTTGAAAAACTTCCAAGCCACTACTACTGGGGTTTCGGGATAGATTTAAGCAAGCCAAATGTACTATAATGAAGACAGGCCATCCGCTCCAGGTCGCACGAAAGCAAGACAGCCTCAGGTTGATTTTTTTGACGAAAGCGAAAGAAGTAACCGGTGTTATAAATTCGGAAAATGTTGTGGAAACCTGCCAAGTCAGAGGACTCCTACCTAGTGTAGTAAAATGAATCGACAAACATTGAGGCTACACACCGACGGATATGTATTTTGGTGCGGAAAGCTCTAAGAAAGGGCTCAGTTTTTGAAGGCAGCAGACTTACCATCAGGACAATAACGAAAATATGGCTGGCCTCAGAATGAAAATAATGCGAAGAGGATATCGGCGTATGTCATACAACAGCGGCGGACTGGTATGCACTTTGTCAGAATGTCTGCGCCGTCGCCCTAATGAACGAAAGAAACTAAATTGGCGGTCCCGGCGGGGAAGTCCAGATTGATGAAACAGTGGTCAGCAGACGGAAATACAATGTTGGAAGACTCAGAAGGCAGTTTTAGATCGATGGTATGATACTGTGCGAAAGAGAGCACCGTTTGAACAAGTAAACGACAGAAGTTGGTCAGCCCTCAGATCTGTCATTGAAAATGGGTGGCCGAAAGGAGCTCATTATTGCCAGATGAATGGAAGTCCTACAAACGCCTCCAATTATTCAAAACATTTCATGCATCCGACTACAGGGAAGCGTATCAATGAGATAGAAGCCTATTGGAGCAGAATGAAACGGAAGCTCCATGAAGGCGGCTCGGTGTCTGTTCGAGAAATATAGTCCCACCTAGTCGAAATTCAGTATCATCTGTGGTTTGTTATAGGCAGCGAGGAACTAAAGCAAGCATATTTAATGACCAATTGTAGGTGAATTTTTATATACAAATCCAGCTAAATTTAACTGTCTGATTACTGGTTATGTGAGGGAGTGCGTTCAAGTCTCCTTAAAGAAGTATATAAGTCACGGAGTAGACTTCCGGCAACAGAAACCGTTTGGGGATATTACGATAGGCGTTCGTTTGCGTTCCAACTGAGGGAGAGTATAGCAACACGCAGCCGAGGATTCTTACAGCACGCATTGTATGGTGAGTACCGAAATGGGAGAAAAACATTAGGTTTTCCGAAGACGTTGATAACTGACGACGTATACGTTCGACAACACAAACCCTTTAGAGATTTCGAGGAAGGTCTATGCTTGTGTTCCAACCGTTGAAAAGCAAATCAGCACACAGGCGAGCATCCTTACGGCACGCGTTGTATGGGGAGTACTGGCGCTGGTGCATGCGGAGACTTCCTGTAACTTTGCCTTAATAAACAAAACAGAACTACTAAAACAAATACAGTAGGTAGTGATACATATTAATTTCCTTGGGGTTATGCTGCACACGTTTACCTTCAAAGAATACGCCAAGGCATGGAGATGGTCCCTGGACTCTTGGTATACGGCCTCCGTTGATTGACAGGTTTGTCGACCTCTCTTGACCCACACTCGGAGAATTACAATCCACAGCATAATCAAGGCTGGCTGGATCAGGTCGTATCAGGTACAAACCGGTTAACCGTCTTATTGCCTCAAGAATATCTGTGGTGAAAAAAAAACAGATACTTTCTGTGCAATTGAGACTTGTATGCGGCTGGCTTCGGATCACTATGGAATTAATGATGGGGAACCAATGCTCATCTTGGTATTAGACCGACCTGCGATCTGTAGAATAAGGGAACTATAGCGTGGTCATCTGCGGGTGTCCTAACGGTCACCAGGTGGAAGCAGTACTGTGATGTGTCCTTCAGCATTGCAATTCGCTGTTGTGCGTACGCTTTCCTCGAAATTATCTTGGGGGGGGGTTTATCTGGGCGTCCACACCTAATATTACCTTCGCATAATCTCTTTGTGGCCGCAATTACCACTACCTGTCATAAGGTTCTTTAGTTTCCGTTTTCATAATGACAACCGGAAAGATGTCCTTCAGTGAGCAATGGTGTCCCGCATTCGAGAACTAGTCTATGAACCGAAGCCGAAGTCCGCTACGCAAGCATCAACTACCAAAAATTCGATCAACTTCTGTTCTAAAAGCCATAGAAGCAAAGTTTCTCAGCCACGACGACTATCAAAGCTTTGTCTGCTGCTAGACACCACGTTGAAATCACACACACACACTTTCACAGTTACCAGAACGTGCTGCACGGTGAGCTTAACAGCGAATCCGTGCCTGAAGACAAACTGTCAACTGCGATCCACAAGAGATGTCTGTTGTTATTGTTGAGCGACTTAGAAGGACAATCCAACGGCTGCGGTAGGCCAGTAATGTTCCACAGGACTACAAACCTTCTGCAATGGGGACAATGGGGAATTCCATGACTGCATAATTATCCGCCCAATGGACGCCACTGTTGCCGTCGTTGCCGTAACGGAGATCTTCGAGAGTGATCACACGAGCGACTTGCGCTCCGCAAGAGAAGCTTAGACAGAGTCAAGATCTGATCGTCCCAAATGGCCACACTCTCCGCGTGTGCCACGAAGTAGACACAGCACTGGTGGCCAGCGCGCAGATTGGTTTATAATGCTGCAGACTTGCGTAGCATCTGCCGCACTCTCTCCTTCTAACACTATGGCCTCCGATGCCAAGACGATGTCAATGCAACCGGGAGCGAGGACGGCTACAGCGGTTAACAAATTCAAACGGCCTGTCTACGCGTGCCACGCACCACCTCCGGGAAAGGCGATTTGAAGTGGAGGCCTAAGGGTGAGGCATTTCACCACACACGCACGTGCGACAATGACTACGGAGTCACATGGACTAAAATCAGGCAAATAAACGCGTGTCGAAAGCCACTATGACCCTCGTGTTCGGACAGCCTCCCTGCAGTATCCATGTTAGACGGTAACCCTACAATGTGTGTATAGACATGCAATGATCTCAAGAGGATTTCGGCTTTATGAGCCCATTCACCGAAACATTCTATTAGTTCCAATGTCACTTCCAGAAGGCTAGCCTTTTCATAAAGCCTATTCTAGGGTGAGAGTTCGACCGTCGATTTCGAAAATGTCAACCGTGTGCTACACACCAAGGTGAGACAGGGACGGTGACCTGTGCGTGAATTAGTTTAAAGTAATTGTTGACTTTCTCAGCATCCGCCGCACTCTATTGTAGTGGACAGCCATATTGGCTACGTCGCGCCTCTCGCTAGCGCCTGCACCTACGTTCTAGCGACAGCTTGCTATTACACGCACGTCTGCCCGGCTTCGATTTGTCTCGTTGTAAATCACTGTCTGCACCACGCATTCGGTCGATTCTCTGCCTGCACCACGCGAGGCTTGTCACTACCTTCGCGTGGGCTCGGAACCAATCAACGCAACTCCTATCGCTTATTGGTAAGACAGGCGGGAACAGCCCAGAACAATAGAGTGAACAATCTTCAACGACACTTTTGCAGCGGCGACCTTCGGCGACACAGGGCTCGTCGCTCTCGCGGACGCCGCCTCCGCGGCGCCGGACGCATCCTCATCCGGTTGCCAACTTTTCCCCGTACTATTTTGTACAGAAAAAAGTGTCCTAACCAAAAGGCGTCCTGCTTCTAACAACTTGGGATATAGTCTGAAGTTGTGGCGTACTGAGCGTACACCATCACCGTTTAGCCGATACACTATTTTCCCCACTGCCCACCTTAACCCGGTGTCAAGACAGAGGCAAGAAGACCGGAGGCGGGGAAGGACGCAGATGGATGGCACGCTCGACCTCGCACCTTGGCGTTCTACTCTACATCCCCTGGTTCACATAGCAACTGACCAGGTTTTTGACAAACAGCAACAACAACAACACCCCAATATGGGTCAAAAGGACGAGGATGATGACTGGGCAGCCATGCCCACCACCTGTATACCCAGCGGGAGCTCAGGCCCATCTACCGGCAGGGAACCAGGTGTCAGGGAACTGCCAGCACATGACAGGCTGCGAGGGCCATGGTTTGCTGATACTGGCATAGCACGCGATTTCAGACCCTTTTATTCTATTATGTTCCATTTTACTCTATTCTAGAGTAAGAACTTTTTGACGCCCTTCCCAGAATAGTCGGAGGAAATGTAGGCCAACACTGCAACCTTTTTTACGAAGGAAAGGCCGCACCGTGATGGCCCTGCTTCAGATAGTTTTGCCAGAGATTTTGAGGATTCGCTTTTAATTCCGACAGTGATCTTTCCTCAACCGCCCCAACTTCATCCCTCAAGCGTTCACTAAACGCCTCTGAATTATTATCCTATTGGGACGGGTACTGACAACCGCACGATAAGTCGGTGAGCAATGAACTACTGCGTGAAGCAACGCGGCGAAACCTCTTCACGTGACTGATCACAGCTTTTTGTCTGACCACCACGTTCAAAAGTAGAAAACAAGTCAGGCGGAGTCACAGACTGGAGAAGAGACGTTCTCTTTAATTCCGGCAAGAGCGATTTACAAAAGTGTTTTTTTCTTTAACCCTAACAAGGTGCAAAAACTGTGCTCCCAGAGCTTCCGACCTCTGGATGTCAAGCTCTTCACTAACGTCATACGACGAATAAGGAGACTGGGGGGGAATATTTAACCTTCATCTTACTGTCCACCGCCATAGTTGAGAAAACTAGGGATCCTGTCGGGTACCACGCTCGGTCTCCAGGTCTGGGGATCCTTGTCCTCGTCACTTTCGAAACTGGACTCCTCCTCCTCATCTGCATCGAAGTCAGTGCCAATTAGGTTTACATCCAGATTTGTCGGTTTGTCGGAGAGGGAAATCCGTTTTGACTGTTTCTTTATCTTTACCGTTTCCGTGGGATGACCTTCAGTGGTGTGGCCAGTGTAAATTTCCAGCGCTTTGATAGTTTCCTCCCCAAATATAGCAAGTTTGATTGGTGAGCTGGCCTTGAGTAACTCCATTATATCCAAAATTAGTTCTTTGTTGACAGCGTTATAGTCATTATAAACCCGCAGTATCTCTGTGTACATTTTTCCCGGCAACCGATCCCAGGCCTCCGACATTTTAGCCCGTCTGGCGCTTTCTGCAGCGAAAGCCTCTTCGTTCTCCTTCGGTGGCATTGGCTCCTCTAGACTTTCGGCTTGCTCCCGTAGCTCTTCTATGTTCTGAGAAATGCTGCTCAGGATTCGGAAGAGCAGGGTTCGAGTCATCTCCCTGCGGTGGAAGATTCGACATTCAAAGAAGAGCAGCAGACTGGGATTGGGAATGTTGTAAAGAAGATCTGCGATAGTGTAGTAGACATAAGAGACGAGGTGATGGTGCACATCGGTGAAGCTGTATGTCTGCCTGGGGAAATGGAAGGGCTGCGGGGTAGCTCTTATCAGCTCAAGGTCAGCATGGTGTTCTAACGCCTTGCGGTAGAAGCTGATCTGATTTTCTCTGGGAATCATCAGGATGGCTAGCAAACGGATGAGACTGCTAATTATCTGCTCCATGCCACTTAGCATGTCGTTGTTAAATTTTCGTGCCAAATATGCAATCGCCAAGCAGGCCTCCTGAGCCACTTCTGGCTGTTCTGCTGTGAGACAGGTGGTCAGTAAGCGGTTGAACCTGAAGGAGTGCTTTCCCATCCATTCCCGCATTGGAGGAGAGAAGCGTTGCGAATTGGCCAGCTCACATAGTTCTCGCAGAGTAAGGCATTTCTCAACGACGGTGGCTCTTGGACCCTCTTCGGAGCCTCTGTCACCGTCAAATGAAAAACCTGAGATGGTGTGAAGCATCCTGCGAAGCGTCTCGTCGATGTTTATCTTCTTCGTGGTTGCGTAGGATCCGATGGCGGACATGTGGCCGAGGAAGGTGCTTTGTGGCATCCCACTGATGCTAGCCAACGAGTCTAGAAGGGGATTTGTGACCGCAGCAGCCGACTCTTGCAGGAACCTTTTGAAGGAATTCTTAGTCCGATTTCGGTTCTCCAAATCCGCCTGTGCGAGCAGCACACTGGGGACGGTAGCATCGCTCAAGCAGCTCTGTCGATGGACCATTTTACTCGCCTCTCTATGGAGTTGATTTTTACCCGAGGGAGAACTCAACCGTCCAATTGCGGACGCAGCTGTCTGTCTACCTGCTGCCTCGACCAATGAGTCAAGTAAGTTTCGAGTGACACAGGTAGACCGATCGATAAATACGTGACATCAAGCTATTCAACCTAGACAAGGCGGTTTGATCGATTTTTTGCACTGCACCTACCTTGCGTGCAAAGATAACTTACGCTAACTTAACACGGAGACCAAACTGCCGGTAAGGGGTTGACTAAGAGCTTGGAAGTAATCCGCTGTCCTTTCGGATGATGTTGGATCATCGGCAGGTTTGAGGTACTGAAGACCACCGCAGTCAAGATACCTACAAAACTGAGACCGACTGACGTCTGCGCGATTGGCCATTTACAACAAGTGCGGATAAAATCTAGTGGAGCGCGCAGTCAAAAAACCAAAAAATAAACGAACAAACAAACAGCAAAGCTGAGTGTGCCAAAAAGCAAACTAGTATGATAGTTATAATGGAAATGCGACAACAAATTGCGTTTAATTACCGATATTTCAATCTGATTATCGTCAATACCGACCGTTTACCGTAAATTTCACCATTTCAGCAGGTCAGATGACAGGCACATGCTTACTGCCATATCTTACCGGCTAACGTTGCCGGACGGTCCATTGGAAGCTAAATGCCATGAAAAATCCAAAGTTTAACCGAACTGTCTGGAATTTCCAAGGCGGGTAACCATATTCTAACCTGCTTTCCGATACTCTCTCACTCTGATCACTAGCTCTACGTAGCTGTTATATATGCCGTTTTCGCATAAGACGCCTGAAATTTGCACGCAGCTTCAGTGCGTTAGGGGTTAGTAGCCAAACAAACCTTTTCGAGAACGAGGTTTTAACCTGCGAAAGTCCAGAAAGCCATTCTTATTGAAAATTCTTGCCGTTTTGACCTTTCCGGTCGGCAAAAATTCATGGATGTGGCCCACTTTAAAGGACGTTGCCGTAATTCTGTCAATCTTTCTGTGAATCACGGCAAAAACGCGTGGACACTTCTTACCTTGCAATAGTAGCCGATTGTTTAAGAATGCAATTACCTATGATATTTCTTACTTTACCGAGTTTCTTAGTGGCATCCTCCGGGTCGTTCGGTGACTGGAAGTATCGGCCAAACACAATTTTGTAAAATTTAAACCCAAGAAGAGTCGTAGAAGTCATTGCTGCTTGCGTGAAAATGTTCGGCCAATCGCCTGATAGCCGGCAGATACACTCCACAGATTGCTTCTTTCAGTTACTCGCGACGTATACTATACTGGCTTCGATGATGGAGGGCGCTCACCGATCGTTCTTGCAGTTCTCACTCATTCCGTTGTGCCTTACGGGCTCTCTCTCGAGCCCAACCAGCAGCCTCACAGCGGCGCATGATATAGGCAGAATGTTATTGCCGACAAAGACAAGGGAGACTCGGATGGTCATTTCTGGCTAAACAGCCGTCGTCAGCCAGTCATACCCAATCCAGAGGTATGGAAAACCTGGGACTCGAACTCGCGACCTGTTAGTTAAAAGTCCACCGCCTCTAACCACTGAGCCACGGGCGGGTATGACTGGCTGACGACGGCTAAAAAGCCAGAAATGGCCATTCCAGCCCCCCTTATCTTTGTCGGTTATAAAACCGACTTCGGTCTGTTTGCAACCCATACACCAGCAGAGGACTTTTGATCGGATGCCTCAGGAAGGAAGCATGATACAGCATTGCATGAATCTTTCCTCTCTCTCTCTCTCTCTCTCTCTCCCTCTGAAATTTCTTAACGTCTTTCCTTTCGAAATTGGCGGGATACTCTTTTAGTGAATGGGTTGTAGGTAAGGGGTATTATAGCAGTTAAATTCCATGGCAACATTCATATATCAACGGAAGGCCGTATGCTACCGCGCTTCATAACTTTTCTGCCATATACTCCACCAGACTACCCGTTTTTCTTTAAAAGTGCAAGCAGTTTTTGGTATGCTGGTTGCTAATTTATGAGCTCCGGATAGCTTGTGTCAAGGTGCTAGACTAACTGAGCTTTGACAGTCTAGTTCCTTTTTTCATAACGGCCCCTTTTGCTTTAACGCGATGGACGACGCTGCAGCTCGGCACCTGCATCTCATGCGTGCTTGATGACCAGGTAGCAAGGCTTTTGAATGTCGACTTTACACATCTAGTGGTCCTTTCCTGCTGCTCGTAGTGGTTTGGATTTGCGATACATAAGTCGTCAGTGGTGACTATGGTGCCCGCAACAGTGAAGACGTCCGCGCTTATGACATGTGTTTACCTCTTCTGTGAACTATAACCTTCCTTTGATTTCGCATCTAACAATGTTTTTCACGGAGTCATGTGTCCCTCACAGAATTTTGGCAACAAGCCGCAGAACTATTGTTTTTTGTTATCAGGACCACCTTTACTCTGTAAAAATATCACGATAGTTCGACTATCGTTGCCGATTATGTCCACCGTGTGCGTGAATTGGTTTATAGTGAATGTACACTTGCGCAGTATCTATCGCACTCTCTCCTCCCCCTCCTGGGCCCGGCGTCAAGACAGAGTCAAGAAGGCCGGAGACGCAGGTGGATGCCACGGTCGAGCCTGCACCTTGGCGCTCCACTCCACACCTTTCTGGTCCACACAGCCAATGGATCAGGTTTTTAGCCAAAAACAAAAATGAGGAGTGGCAGAGTTTTTTGTGTGCGCGACGTCTGCCTTCAACCGCATCCCGAAATGTTGGCATTTGTTGTGGCGCGCATTCCGATAACGCCTGCCAGTATCCGATATGGCCTCCGTGTTTGTCCAGCGCATCTACCACGCGGTCCGTTTGAGGGGCACAAAAAATACCACAAAAGATAGAGAAATACCATATATACGTTATAGATCATAGGTGGGATGCATTCTGAGCGGATATGATGAAAAGACAAGAGGTTCTACGGAAAAGTCGAGTTCTACTCGTGAATATTCGAGCTGGTAACACCAACCCGTCGTCAGACGAAATGAAAACAAGAGAGAAAGTTAAATTGTCACACTAGACCAGTTTGAGCGTATGAGGGTGGAATTGGTCACGAAGTCATGGTAGGTTTCTGAGTGAGGGAAGAGGGGAGAGAAGAGGAGACGGAACAAATACGGCAGCCTGTGATGGAAGGGGGAGGGTGAATGGTGGGTCAGTGAAGCTCCGGGTCTGTCAGTCGTGAACGTAGACCTTTGTAATGGGCATCAAGGCCAACAGGACGGTTGATATTACTCGCATTGGAGCATCAAGTCATATGCTAATTGAGATGCTTCCTCCAACTACTCTCTCTTTTTCATGTTCCACCCTCCCACTGAGGCTCCATACACCAAACCGAAGACCAGTTTTCATCTACTCACTTCAGTTTCTGATCGCTAACGCTACCAGACACTGGTAAAAGAAGAAGCTTTGGGCGATCAAAAACCCTCTAAACGACAATGACAGAGTGAAGGGCCCCAGTCGGCTGTTGGACCGTGTGCTGATGTTTATACGTGCTAAATCTAGTTAAGTATTGATGACTGGCGGTTGTACCCAAGAGCGGAAAAACAAGCAACAGAGATCAAATGAGCATGAACTGGTGGATGACACAAACGTCTGCCAGGGGATGGACCCAGCTGATCGAATGGGCAGGCACTCTTTCAAGATGGAACGCCATGGAATACCCGGCTGGATACCGTATCTGCATACATTCACCATTTTACTCGAAAGTATCGTTTTTGCCACTGACCATCTTCTGTGTCCTACTGGCGTGCTGTCCCACCCGCAACTCTCTCTCCCTTCATTACCTCCACTCCCGTATGACACGATCCACAGTCTCCCGCCAGCCAAGTGAAGGTTCAAAGTCTGTATTCTTTTACGAGTTCGCAGATCTCACAGTCTCCCACTGAATCAACCTTCTGTTGTCTCATCTCGACGTACCTTTAGTCGAGACCGTCGCCGTCCTCTATCTCGCTCGAGGACCGGTGACCGCTATTGGTACCATGTCAAGTTCGGTGAGAAGACCGGATGCTGTGTCCCACCTTGCTCATTCAAACTCTCTGACAGAGATCCCCCGGCCGCAGCGTACACGCGTTCAACCTCTCTGGCTCCCCTTTGCCTATACGACACCGCCCGAAGGCTGAAGGACTCACGGAGATACAGGGTTTTTCCGAGCCGTCACTTTCCTCAATCTCCACTTCCTTGACTTCTCCACTTTTGCACACGACGGTCGAGATCGCGAAGCTTGATTGATGTTCGGGAGCAGGCGACCCCGCCCTCGTTCCAGAGCCCACCGAGGTCACCTGTCCGGCATGTCCACCAAACGCCATCATTCCGTGCCAACACAGCCGCCACCTTGCTAGTATCACACATCCTTTGGTGCGAGAGCCCGTAGCTGCATCTCTCCTCGCTCCTTTATCTTCCAGCAGAGCAAAGGGGTCAGCCCGAAGGTCAACGGGTCTAGTCTCCGTGGCAGCCCTATGCCTAGTCGCACCTTCTACGTATGTGACACTCGGAGTGGCAGACGTTTCCTGGTTGATACTGGCGCACAACTGAGTGTCATACCTCCCACAGCAAACGATCGTCGGTGCCCTAACCCCAGCCAGGTCTCTCTCTTCTCTAGACATCAATCTCGGGCGTCTATTCCATTAAGTTCTTGCCATTGCCGACGCGCCCTGTGCTTTATTTGATGCAGTCATTCTCGCTGCTTACGCTCTTACGGTCGACTGTCGTCACTTCCATCTACACGACCAGGGTTATCACTTCGTCTGAAATGTTCCGCCAACTTGCCGTTCCGGAGCCCGACCCAGACAGTCCATTTCGGCAACTCCCTGCCAAGACCTCACCCTTCCCAACTTCATCGTTTCTACCCCTACCCCAGGACATTGTTCACCATACCCGTACGAATGGCTCTCCTGTGTTTTTTTTTCGTCTCGGGCTTGCTCGACTGTCTGCTGCCAAAGCTGAGTTCGAACACATGCTTCAGATGTGCATCATCCGCCAATGGTTTCAAAGGCCGCTACTGGTGAGCGGCACCCCTGTGGTGATTACAGAACCTTGAACAATGTTACCAAACCCGGACCACTACCCTGTTCCGCACCTTAAAGATTTTGCCAGCCCTATTCGTCAGGTCCGTTTTTTGGAGATTCGCCTGGCTCTGACCTTCCAACAGGTCTCTATAGCCCCGAACGACGTTTAGAAGACGACCGTCACTATCTCCCTTGGTCTCTTTGGGTTCCCGCGTATGTCGTTTGGACTCCGTAACGCTTCTCAGACCTTCCAGAGGTTCGCAGACGGAGTAATTCGTGGCCTCCATGTTTTCTACACCAATAGTGATGGCGTGCTGATAGCCATACCCATGGAGCATCTTGCAACGGTGTTTGACCGCCTTCAACAAATTGGCTTAGTCCTCAACCCGTCCAAATGCGTCTTCGGCGTGTCTTTCTTCGAGTTTCCCGAACGTCTGGTCGATAACAACGGTACCCACCGTCTCTATTCGAAGGCTGCGGCCACTTGTGAACTCCCGCCTCTCTCGTTCGAACATCAGCTGCAGCGATTTCTGGGTATGATGAATTTCTATTGTCAGTTCCTCCCTTACTGCACCAAAACAATCCTGCCGCTTACGAGTCCCCTATCGGGTCCCAAAGGTCCTTTTGAGCTGTCTGCAGACGTCCTCGCTGCTTTTGACAAGGTTAAGGCTGCGCTGGCCGATACCACCCTCCTGACGCATTGATCTCCCGATGCTCCCATTTCCCACGTGGTTGATGCGTCCAGTCTTGCAGTGGGCGCGGTTATCCAACAGCGCTTTGAGATCGCACCCAACCCTTAGATTTCTTCTCCAGGAGGCTATCACCTGCTGAGAGGCGCTGTAACACGTTTGGACGGGAGCTCCTTGCTGTCCTCCTCGCCGTGAAACACTTCCGGCACTTCATGGATTGCGGGGACTTCACTGTGTTCACGTAACAAAAACCCCTTTGCTTCGCACTCAAGTCCACTTCTGACAAGCTCAGCCCTCGGGAAATTCGCCAACTGGATTACGTTTCGAAGTTCACTTCAGACATCCGTCATATTGAGGCGTCACGGAGTGAGGTGAGACCCTCAATCGCTCATCTCCAGCTTTCTCGGGGATCGATCTCACTGGGATAGTTTTCAGACAACACCGTGTTGGTTCGCTCTGCGACAAGGATGCTTCCGGACTCCAATTCCAGGGTCCCCTACTGATGACTGACAAGGGGATCATTACCTGTGATGTTTTCACCGCTCCCCGCGCCGACACCTGGTTCCCTGCTGATAGATACGCTTCCGCTCTCGCTGGGTATACAGGCCGTATGTATAACTAATCCGTGGCTTATGTCATCCTCTTCTCTTTCTGACGCATTTTTGTTCCTCGCTAGAGTCCAGGGTAAGGGTTTTTTGCGGCCCGCGGGTGCGACAGTGCCAGCCACCTGCGCCCTCTCCCCCTCCAGTCTTCTTGAATATGTCTTGACACCAGGCTCAGGTGAGGGAGGAGAGGACGCGGTAGATTCTGCGCAAGTTTGTTTTCACTATAAACTAGTTCACGCAAAATCCACCGTGTCTGCTCCCACCTTGATGTGGGGCACACGGTGGACATCGTCGGACGCGACGGCTGAACTGTCATCCGGTGCTGTGCGTGTCCCCTTCCAATTTCTCCCCCTTCTCTCTTCTCCCCTGTCCCTTTCCACTTCGAAAGTCTTGCAGAGACAGCAACGTGCAATACTGTAGGCGGCCCAGGGTAACTCAGGTCACTCTCCACTAACCAAGGCCGTGACTCACAGTGGGAGTTCGCCAGCCGCATTAGATGTCTAGGCGACCCTATTTAGGGACAGTACTGCCTACCACCTGACGGGAAAGTGGCCCTAGACAAATGCTGGGACCAAGTCATCTGCATATGGACCGTGACTTACACATGTACAACTCAAGGTCAAAACAACCCAACTCACGTCATCACCCACCCCCCCCGCAATCCACAGGCTGCAAGAGGGAGTTCGCTCACTTTAGATGCCTGGAATGTCCGTCCACTTTTCGACAACCCGCTGAGGACTCTATCGGAAGAATGGACGGCAATTGTCGCTCAAGAACCGGTGAGCCACAAGGTGGATATCGCTGCCCTCAGTTGGACCCGTTACGCCCTCTGAAGCGACCGTCCAAAGGCAGAGCAACCTAAGGCTGGTGTCGCAACTGTTACGCGGAAAGACATTCTGAGACGACTGGTCTGTATGCCACAGGGCGTCAACCTGCGCCTGCCTCTTCAGGAGCCAAGTTCGCCCTTACCATCAGTGTCTACGTTTCTTCCTCCAAGGCCAAATCCGATGAGGTGGGGAATAAGTTTTACGTCCTGCTGTCGACTGTGTCGATGGTGGGAAGGCTCCAAGGTGAGGCTTCGACTGCGAACTTGCCGACGACCACAATATAAGCGACCATTAGTTCAGTTCAAAACTCCTCTCCTGGATTTGGCTGCTCACCTCTTCGATTTCGGTGATCAATTAACCCAGTGATCAGAAGCCCTGCAGGATCTGGACGGCAGTGTTATTGTGGAGGGAAAGTGCTGTCATCTGAAGGACGTCATCCACCACGCCGCCTTGGACGTCCTCGGTCGCGTGCGTCTTCAACATCAGGACTGCTTTGATGAAACAGAAGTCGGAAACTTTCTCACTGAAGAGAAAAGTCAACATTGACGCAAACAAAACAGCTACCTGGGGCGGTAGGAGATATCGGGCAGATCGCAGGACCGAGAAACTCCAAGGTCACGCGAGCTGCAATGAAACAAAGGACTTCCTTGCTGTCTACGGCTCCACAGTCAAGATGATCGCGCCTCTTCTCAGTCCCGACGAAATAAGACTCCTCATGGAGAAATCGCAATTTCTGAAGTGCTCGGCCGAGCACTTCGTAGCCGTCCTCAATCTCCCATTTTCAATCTCCGACACTGCCAGCGTCCGGCTCTCTGCAATGACAACGAGCCACAGGCTGAACCTCCCGCCTTCCATCAAAGCCGAGCAACAAATCTTTAGTCTACAAATGGCTGACAGAAAAACTTACCATGCATTTCCAAGAGATTTAGAGTCGGGGACAAGTTTCCAAAGATTTAAGGGACTCGAGAACCGTCCATCTATATAATCAGAAAGGGAGTGGTAACTCTGTGGTAATCACGGAGGAATATCGCTGCTCAACACCACCGAAGGGGGCTTCCGTCGCGTTCTTCTCAATGGTCCCGACATACATCCGGAACACGAACTTCTCCCGGAGAGTCAGTGTGACCCCCGTAGGCGCCGTTGAACCGCCGACATGGTCTCTGACGTCAGCCAACTACAAGAGGAGAGCCAGGAGATGCGAGCTCCCCCTACAATACCCTTGTGAACTTGACAAAAGCCTTCGACAAGGCAGATCGCCAGGAACTGTAGAAAATCATGCAGAACTTCGGCTGTTCCGAGAGATTCGCACACACACACATGATGCGTCAGCTCCCCTACGGGATGATGGCGCGAGTCACGACAATGGGACCGTCCCTGAAACATTTGCAGTAAACAGCGGGGTAAAGCAGGGTTGCGTGCCTGCTTCCACCCTCTTCAGCCTCATGGCCTCATAGACGCCTTTGCTGATGAGCGACCCGGGATCCGCATCGTCTTGGCAGTTGACGGCCATCTCAAGCATTTGCAAATCAACCCGGGGACCTGGAATGACTTCGGCCGGGACAGCTCGGCCTGGCGGAAAGCAGATGAAACAGGATGCCAAAGCCAGATGATCAGCCCGCCAGTCTCTAACGCCTTTCAGCCACAACACCAACACCCAACCCCTTCCAACATTCTGAGCGCGGACTGGTCTCGTAGGGCATCTCAGGAGACAACAACGATCCAACCTGCTGCCTCCACAAACGCCATCGTCGTCATCCAGCCCCAACCTCCACGGGGTCCACGACGACCATCCTCACCACCGATGATCGCACATCTTATGTTCCTCCGTCGTCGATATCCGCGATATCCTCATGTCCGCCACAACCTCCGCGATCACTACGGCGGCGACTACCACCGCTCCCACCTCCGCCACGGGTGAGAACACTTCCAACGCCCTGTAAACCCCTCCCCTTACCACCACTGTACCCGCCGCTGCTAAGTTAGACCTGCTCTAACCGCGATTGTACGTTCACCTCACGCATAGGCCTGTTCGGTCATTTGCGGAGCCATTACATCGAAAGTGTCGAAGCAATGTCATGAGCCACCGCCTACACCCGCGCATCCGCCTCTTTCGTCCGCACAGCCCACGCACAATCACCCAAGGCGGGGGGCTTTCTGGGTCACATGCGTATCCACAACTGCGGAGTTCACCGCAATACTGGGACCCATAGCACACCTTTGCGCATCCGCCAACTCTTCCATCGCCAGCCCAATCAACTCCCCATCCACCAGCATAGCCCGCACTAGTAGAATCACAACAGCAACCGACTTAGCAGCTTCCAACATATCCTGCCCACACTGCCATCGCTCACGTACGTCACGCATTGGCCTGGCGGGTCGCTTGCGACTTCGCTGCACGGAGACTGGCGAAGCTGTATCTGAAACACTGTCGCCGCCCAACTGTCCGCATTGTCCTCACACCTTTAGTCATTACATGGGCCTACTCGATCACATTCGCCTCTAGTCGGTAAATCACCTCAGACACGACCGCACCTCTCCCCATCAAAAAATACACTGCAAATGAATACTTCCTACATCCCACACCACCGGAACCTCTCACATCAGTAGGAGACGTGCTCTTCGGCTTCTCCGTTGTGTCACACTTCTGCAACATGCGGGGTCCAAACGATCTGCCCCTTTGTGCGAGGCCCTGGTGTGTCGTGCGGAAGTCAGGTCGCGTATGTGGCACACGCAGACGGGCTGTTTTTAGCTCTATGAGCCATAGCTCTGAGACAGTCTTTCCTAGTCAAATGATCCCGTGGATAGCGCCGTTCCTGTAGAGGTTCGTGTAGGGTCGCCGTAGTTAATTTTAAGACTTTCGAAGAAAGCTTTATTGCGGCGGCACTGGTTCGATTGACAGCTGAGGATATGAGCTGTATCAATCGTTTCTCGAAACACTCCGATGCAGAGTTAACCGTAAGATTTGCGTGGGACAAGAACGTCAAGAAAGGACAGCTTCCATACCTTCTCTTCCTTCCCTGTGAACTTGATATCAGGGAAGACGTTAATAAGAAATTCCTGAAGGTTTGATGACCTGCTCTTCCCCATTACAGCAGTGTGTCGTCTAAATTACGGTACTGCAGCATATGCTGCCCGGGCTGTCAGGACATCATGCCACAAACGCGTGACAAGCGAGCGATCCAGGTCATGACCCCTGATCACACCTTCTTTGTGCTGATTGGCCATGACAGTCCCCCTTGCCATATACCCGGCCGTTTCCACAAGCCACCTCACTTGTGCTGTCTCTCGTATTCAGTAAACGTTCTATTTCCAATTAACCTTCTGTTTTGCATGCATAACAGGTGCCAAGACGTGGATTCGTCGAACTTGAAGGTGACTACTTCCAGCTCTTGGAGTCCGGCAGTGAATCTAGGTTGGAGACTGAGGAACCCCTCAACGCTCACTTAATAAGCTTGAATGTTTTGCTGCTGAAGATGGAAAGGGTTCGCTGACAGAATGCATATCATTTCATTTAATAATTAGCATTAGGGGGGTCTTCGCGTTCGCCCATACGTCTCTTCGAGTCGCTTGCGTAGAACACATCGCCCCCAATCTAACAGGAGGGATGTGAATAGTGCGACCGCGTCGAACGTGACCATAATTTGGTCAGGTTGGACAGTTCTCCTTGGGATAACGGCGAGAAAATGAAAGCCTCTCCGAAGGAAGTTTAGTATTCGGGTCGACTATTATGTCAGATCGTAGCTGGAGCTGCCCCTCAGGACAGCGACTGACCAACGACGAACGTTGGGCCTAGGTATTCCGGTAATTCATGGAAACTTGCCGATGCTCTGTCGGTCTGCTTTATCGCACTCGTCTTTCGAGGTAACGTTTTAAGCGTCCCAGCTGGTTTGTAAGTGTGGTTGATTGGTCGTTGAGTTGGCACGCGACGAGGCGTACGTAGGTCTGCGGAACTTCTGGACAGTGGGGAGGATTTCAACCTCCTCTGTGTACTCATAATGATTCAATATGGCGAATGCTTTCCACTTGTCAGCGGGCAGGACGAATGATATCCTTATTCATTCTCGACTTCCTCATTGCGCAGATTTCCGCAGGTGATATGTTACTGGTAGATCTAGTAACCAACCAAAGTTATGGGCTCGCTATGTCGATGACACATTCTTCGTTGCCAAAACAACTGACACTGAGCACCTGAAGGAACTACTGAATTCCGTTGACCCGGATATCCAATTTACGATGGAAGCAGAAACAAACAATCAACTGCCCTTCCTTGACGTGCTTGTGCGCCGGTGTACAACTAAACAACTGCAAACCGCAGTATTCCGAAAATACACCGACACGACACAGGTCCTACACTTCAACAGCAACCATCCTCTGTCTCACAAATGCAGCTTTGTCCGCACTCTACTCCAAAGAGTCGAAGCACACTGCCGCACGCCAGAAGATAAATGAGTCGAACTATTGTAACTTCGGAACCTATTTGCAGCCAGTGGTTATATTAGACATTTTCTCGAGAGAAGCAGACGTCGGGCGCACAGACGAACGCCAAACGAACAGCAACCTGAAGTCTGAAGGGCCATCCCCTTCGTTAAAGGGGTCTCTGAGGCGGTCTCTCGACTGTTACAACCCGCCAGAGTAGGCAGAGCCCATCGACCACAGGCAACAATTCTACGCCGTCTCGTGCAACCTAAGGACCCGTTACCACCCGCTGAAATCTCAGCAGTCGTCTACAAAATAAATTGAATGAGGTCAACTGCAAATATGTGGAAGAAAACCGGCGGAAATTGCAGATTCGCTTACAAAAGCACAAATCGGCCGCTCGGAGGTTAGACCCTAACTCTCAACTAGCAACACACGTTGAAGAAACTGGGCATACTTCCGATCTCCAGAGAGCTGCCATCTTAGGCCGGGGCAACACAAAAGCGGAACGGTTAACTCTCGAGGCGCGGTACTCCGATGCTCACTTCATCAACAGGCATCTGGACCTTCCTACAGCTTACAAAGTCCTACGTCATAACAATCGTAGAGCTCAGGACCAAACAGTCATAGCGGACTTAAGAAGGCCATGTGGAGACAGCCCGAAAGCGAGTTTTCTTGGTGAGGCAGAAAAAGAGCCGTCAGACCGACCACCCGACATTGGTTCAGTCACCTCCCCCCGACGGGGTGGTGACTCACAAAGCACGCAGACAAAAGGCCCCTCAACCATCCCTCGAGAGTCCGAGGCAGCGAGAGAAGAAATAAATCGATGATCACGAGGCCGACCAACTTGACATGCCACTTAAGATTTCTGGTCGATTAAGTTCATTTTACGCTTTAACAATGGAGGGCTGACCAAGCTCTTCGAAACGTCAGCAGCTGAATAAACCCGCTCCAGTGAACACATCTTTTTCTTCAGATCATCAACCGGGATCTCTCAACTTTACCAATCCGAACAGATCTAGTAACTATCGGTATGTGGGGTGACTTCTTGGCTCACGGTGTGCATGCTCATATCAGTTCTTTTTGGGTCTTCAATAATTCGACCAACGTTTTCGACGATGTCCACTGTGTGTTCCAAAGCAGGATGAGAGAAGGGACGGTGACTTGTGCGTGAATTAGTTTATAGTGATGGTAGACTTGCACAGCATCTA